CTAAAGTAGCTTATCTTCAACCTAGTTAATTATTACATTATATTATGTTAATACCTTTTTTATAAATAGCCAAAATAAAATTTGTACTTTATATAACTAAGTTTAGATCATTTTGTCAGGAAAACTTTATAATTAATAAAAAAAAAAAAAAAAAATGTAATCACAATTCGTTACTTTGATATGAAAATAGTCGTTGAATTATTCTACTTGTAATCAAATCTGGACTACTGGACTCTCTGCTTAATTTTAATTTTCTTTTCTTTTTAAATTATCTTTAAGATTAAAGAGTTGAATATTTTTTCAGGTTAATAATAAGTTCAAAAATTAAAAAAAAAAATGTTATCCCTAGTAAAAATATTAAAGCAAATCGAAACGCTCATAAAACATCAAAATCGTTGATAACGACCCAATCGTATTCCTAAATAGCACAAATTTAAAATAATACGGGTGAATTAATTTAAAACGACTATAAGTAAAATGTCAATCCTTTTAACTTAAAATCTTATCAACAGATATAAATATTGATTGTAAAATTCTGTTTTAAAATGATAAATCATACGATTCCGAAGCGTTTAAATGATAAATATAGTATAATATGACCAATGTTGGTGCGAATGAAATTCTTTTTAATATATTATTATCTTTTGGTTGTGTCTTTTTATAATTATAGTGACAACACTGACAAGTATATTTTATTGATTCGTTTGGTGCTTTTGCCCTACTAATTATGTAGAAAAGGATGAGTATTTTTAATATATATATATATACATACCGTTGACACTTATTTATATCATATCGTAGACTTGTGTACACTATATATTTATTAATTTTTTGTATTACCTGTATTTAACAGAAGTGGAGTGCAGTTGGTCGTGACCTCCACCTCCGCCGCCATTGCCGTCGTCGTATTCTTCGTCGTCTTCGTCGTCGTCGTCGTCGTCGTCATCGTCAGTGGCGAACGCGTCGGCCCAACCGGCAAAGTTGTGCCGCCGTCCACCGCCACTGGC